GATTGATANCAACATAGAGGTGGGTCTAGCTCTTCCAATGCCCAGCCTCTTATAAATCGCCAGGGGCATAAGATTGATGTTGGCCCCTAGATCACACAGTGCTTTAGCAAAAGCAAAATTACCAATAGTGCATGGAATTGTAAAGCTTCCAAGGTCAGACAACTTTTCTGCAATTGGTCTAGTCACCACTGCACTACATGTCTGAGTAAGAGTAACTGTGGCCAAGTCTTGGAAATCAAACTTTCGGGACATCAAGTCCTTCATCATTTTTGCATACCTAGGCATCTCCTTCAAAGCTTCAATCAATGGTATGTTTACCTAGATTTGTTTCAGCATTTCGAAGAACTTCTTGTATTGTTCCTCCTTTTGATACTTAGCCAGCCTCTGAGGGAAAGGTGCAGGAGGTCTCTTCTTCCCAACTAACTGGGATTGATCCTTATCAGCTGCTACCTCAATTATTGGTTCCTGGACTGTCTCAGCTTCTTTCTTGGTCGCATTCTGGATGCTATTTTCTTCCTGGGCAGGCTGGACTAGCACCTCCGTCAGTTTCGTTGACTCATCTAGCTCAATGAGCACTGGTATAAGTGTCTCAACTTGTCTAGTTTCTCGAGCCCTCTCTTGCTCTATATCCAGATCTCTGCCATTACGTAGACTTACCGCCATCAGCTACTTTGGGCCTTGATCTTTTGGATTTATCTGGGTGTCTGCAGGTAGTGTCCCATGAGGACGATTGTTCAGAGACATAGAAATTTGGCCCACCTGCACTTTAATATTCTTGATTGTTGCATCATGTGCATCCACTCTCTCATTAATCTTTANAAGTGCTGCTGAGGATCTTCGACTTGCGACCCCGAAAATAGTCCCTTGTTCTGCAACAAGTGCAACATGTTATTCGTAATTTGGAATGACTCAACCTGTATANTAACCTGCTGCATCATTGCCTCAAGTCTAGCAAACCCATCTTCCTGCCTTCCACCATGTTGCTGCTGAGGAGGATGATACCCCTACTGCTGATTCTGATTATTATATCCCTGTGGCCTTGGGTAAGGTGCCATATTGTTAGTGGGTCTCATACCTCCCATGTTTCCATTGTTGAACTGTGGATGGACTGGCCTGTATTGCCGATTTTGCTGGCCCCAATTCTGACCACTCTGTCTCTGGCCTCCATAATTAGACACATAATTCATGTCTTCAGGGTAGTGGTGATAATCATATTCTGCATTCCATTGGTTACCGATTGGCTGACTAATGCAAGATGCGCACAAGCCCCCATTAGTAGTATCTACGATATGTACCTGCTACTTCTGCCCTGACTCTTCCACCTTTTTGGTGAGTATACTCATCTGTGTCAATAAGGTGGCCATATTTTCAGCCATAGAGTTGGATGGATCTAAGGGCACTGAGTGAACCACTGGAGTGATAGGTGCATTCCTGGTTGTCCATCCCGAATTTTGTGCCATCTTGTCAAGCAGACTCTGGCCTTCTCTCCATGTTTTGCTAAAAAATGCTCCACCAGCTGAAGCATCAACAATGTTCTTCACGCTATCTGACAATCCCATGTAAAACCGCTGCCCCAACATCAGATCTGGAATACCATGGTGCGGGCATATAACCAGCATCCCTTTAAAGCGCTCCCATGTTTCATGCAGTGTCTCCATTGGTCTCTGTTTAAAACTCAAAATTTCATCAATTTGTTGAGCAGTCTTATTGGGTGGGTGGAACTTGTTATGGAATTGCCTGACTAACTCATCCCAAGTTGTTATAGAATTTATGGGAAGTGAGTTTAGCCAAGTCTGGGCAGCTCCTGTCACTGAGAATGGAAACAATAACAGCTTGATTGCTTCAGGAGTTACGTTGGGCTGCCTTTGGGTTTTGCAGATAGAGAGGAAGTTCTTCAAGTGCTGCTGAGGATCTTCGACTTGCGACCCCGAAAATAGTCCCTTGTTCTGCAACAAGTGCAGCATGTTATTCGTAATTTGGAATGACTCAGCCTGTATCTGCGGAACTACAATGGCTGTGGACAGATTTTCAGCTGTGGGTTGTGCCCAGTCATAGAGAGCAGCCTCTGGCACTATTGGTACCGCTGGGTTTTCCTCGTGATCCCCCATGACTGTTTCGAATTGTGCAGTTGTTGGTTGTTGTTTGTTTTTCCGATTAGCCCGATTCAAGGCCTTGAAAACTTTCTCGGAATCTGATAATGCTTCAAATACTTCACCAGATCTCGATGAGTTTCTAGGCATGCACCTGTGCAACCAAGTCAACAAACGTATAGAGAAAAAATGACTACAACAAGAATTTTTGTACTTCTTTCAATTGTAATTGATAACACCGTTATTTCCCTGGCAACGACGCCAAAATTTGATCACGCCCAACTATGCCTTACAAAAGGACAATGCGGACGTTGCAAATATAACCTGAGTATTTATGCCCAGAGTCGAATCCACAGAGAATTAACCTATCAATTACTTTCGTTGGACTTACTAAATTCTTTAGAATCAACTTCCCCAAACATTGTGAATAATAGTTGATGGTATATTTAATAACTAAGATTGAAAGTCAATAAACAGTTCNGCTCCACCAGCTGAAGCATCAACAATGTTCTTCATGCTATCTGACAATCCCATGTAAAACCGCTACCCCAACATCAGATCTGGAATACCATGGTGCAGGCATATAACCAGCATCCCTTTAAAGCACTCTCATGTTTCATGCAGTGTCTCCATTGGTCTCGNCCCTTCTGTTTATGTTTCATATAGATTTACCAACACATCTCTATCAACCATGAACACTCAAATTATCGTGAATCTCTCCCGAGTAATCACAATAATTTACTAGATGTACTCTCTCGAGATACGCTAGCTGGCTTTGTTTATTACAGTTCACTTTAGATTGCACCCAAGACTTCGTTATCCCTAATCCCGCCTTTAAACCCGCAGTTATAGATCCCTCTTATACTTTGGGAGTGATGTTGTTCAACAATTACCTACATATGCACTCTCTCCCGAGTTATGCATACTAAATAGGCACAGCTAATTGAGGATCCTGTCAATTAACTACAACAAACACGTAGTTGAACAAATAGAGATTAAACTGGAAAACTATATTAACATAATCAAGAAGTTCATCCTTCAATAGGTTTCATCAAAACCCTAGACAAAGGATTTAGCTACTCATGACAATGAGTAAATAAATTATGAAAATATTCATGATCAAAATTGCCAGAAAAATAAAAAGAAGAAGAAAATATGATGTTTTGGGTGATCTCTCACACTTGTTTTTCTTGCCAAAGTACTCTCTAAAACATTACATGCCTCCCTTGGACGAGTTCTATTGTTTAATATAGGGTTTTGGGCTAAAAATCCCGTGTTTTGCACTTCAGTCCCTCAATTTTCCGCTTCCTATCGCGGTCCTACCGCGGTTACGCCAGGACCGCGGCCAACTAGCCTCTCAGAATCCGCAACAGCCTTCTGCCACGGTCCGACCGCGGTTACGCCGGGACCGCGGCAGTCCATCTCCAGTTCTGGTTTTGCTGCCTTCGCGTGGTGCACTTAGCGGATATTGTAAGATTGGCCTCTTTTTCTCCGTAATTGATCCCAAAAGTACTCCATAGACTTCTTTTATTGTATATAGCCTGCAAAGCATGAAAAGCACTAATCAGAGCATTTTGTTATCACTTTTTACCATAAAAACTATACAGGAAGGTGGTTCTTTAGAGCCTAATTATAGTCCAATTCACCTATTATCAGTTGCAATTAAGATAAATGGTGGATGTTCCAGCATGAACAAAAAAATTCTAAGCTTAACTGTTAAGGATTTGACACCAACAAAAAAAAAGAAGAAAATAATGAATGAAAGAGAATTTTCTATTTTGTTTTTGTGGATCTACATTCGTTCCTTTTCCCCCTACTAGATGGGAAGGCGAAGGGTGGCAGATGGTGGTGGAAGATGGTGGGAGGGAAAGAAAGTAAGGAAGAAGAAAATATTTTGCTACAAGATATTGGTCTAACGCGCTCAAAATGAGTATTGCACACGTACTCTGCCATATCAGTAAAACGTGTCTAATTGGCACAATTCAGGGGGTTCAATAGAGATAAAACTTAGTTTAAGTGTTTAAATGAAAAATTCTAACAAGTTTAAGGGGCAATCTATATATTTGGCCTAGATAGAAATGAACTTTTTTAGACGTTGCTATACTAAAATATTTGACCTAACTTAATTCCTTAATCAAGTTTTTCTTTCTCACTCCTTAAGTACTTTTTTTAAATATACTTTATTCATACGTTTTTACTTTTCTGAAGTGTGGATTAAACATACCAAGCTACCATTCATATATTGACAATGATCCATAAAAAGAATGGCAGGATAGGAACCTCAAGCCTCAAGCTGTGGCCGGCCTAGCTTTGACTTGCTATGTTGGATGGTCAAATCAACATTCCTCTGTACTCGAAATAGATAGCCGCCCTCCACCCCTAGCCCTAATACCCCAAACCCCCATCCCTCTCTCCACCTCCACCCCACTCCCCGCCAACAACCCACCACCCCCATCTCCTACCGCAACCTTGGCCCCTAAACCTGACCTATCACCCTTACATATTTTGTCTCCCAAGTATTTGTCTAAATTATACTCCCTTTGTTTCAATTTAGATGACACACTTTTCTTATTAGTTCGTTCCAAAAAAGAATGACATAGTTCTATATTTAGAAATAATTCAACTTTGAACTTTTCATTTACTCATTTTAGCCTTAATGAGAAGCATTTATCGCTACACAAATATTATGATCCCACAAAGCTGTTACCCCTTAAGTTTTTAAGACCACATATTTCAAAAGTCTTCTTTTCTTTCTTAACCTTTGTGTCAAATCAAACTACATTATCTAAATTGAAACGGAGAAAGTATTGTTATTCAAAAATGTTTTCTGCACCTAAAAATATATAAAAACACCACTTATTTTCAAATTTCAGGAAATTTTCCTCTGTACCAAACACACCCTAATTGTGTGTCACTACCACTGTAACTTTCTCTCTTTTTTGACATTTTACTTTACAAGAAAGGGAGGTGAGGGCACAGTGGTTAAAAGGGACATCGTTTACCGCGGAAACCAAATTCTGAAACAGGAAGAAGAAATTCTCCAGAATATATATATTCTCTTGTTGAAGCTACACTCAGTAGTCAGTAGCACCCCCACCACTTCTCCGAGCCGTTCAAAATCGGAACTGCCAGTTTACTTTTTGCCCTTTCCATCTAAAATCCGCCTCAGCAGATTCCCCAATTTGATTAGTCTTTCATTTCTTTCCCTCAAGCCAAGAATCTCACATATCCTCTCTCTTAGCTTTTTCAACAATGATGCCATTCTTCTTCTCTCCCCCTCTCCCTCTTTCTCTTAGTCCTTTTCAACGACTTTCTCCAAATCCCAGAAAAATCTTTGTCTATACATACTACTCAAATTTTTCTGTCTTCATGCCATGTCTTCTTCAAGTGTCAATCAGCCTTTCACATTTGGTAATGTTTCACTACTTCTTAATTGGGCTCGAAGCTATATAAAGTGTAATCCTTTTTGAGTAATAATAAGAAATGTTGGCTTTTTTGTGTGGGTCTTAGAAGATCACTGTGTTGTTTCTTGATTCGCAGAGAGGAAGTCAAGGTTTATGAGATGGCTTAGTAAGCTTTTCAAGGGTGGTGGCTCAGCCAATAGGAGTGTGCCAGCTGGACGACCACAGTTTCTTGGAGAGGAGGATAACATGGTTAGGCGCCCTCCACCCAGACCACTGGTAACTTTCTTATTCATGTTTTGGATTATGGATTACTACAGATAAAAGCTTTTCTCGGGTAGAGAATTACTAAAAGCAAAATTCTTCTTCATTCAGAATAGAAATCTTGCGCTTGAAAATCAAAATAGTTACTAGTTTGGATATATTGGTAAAGAACCTATGTGTATTGTAATGGTCAAACAGAATGCTGGTTAAATATTTTTATCTGCTGCTTTTGGTCTTTTTATATTTAAATTCTGTAGCCATGATTTGATGTGGTATAATTCCATTTACGTCTAAAGACATTTCCCATATAATTAGCTAGCTTGTGTCATTGGAAGACTGGAATATGGATAGTTACTTGATGTACTTGTGTTCTTCATTTTACCTTTCTAGCCAATGAATTTTGTTATTACAACGATTAACCGCATTCAAGATGACTTGAAAAACTGATCATATGTAAATTAAGTATCAATTCAAATTGATTGCCGGCGATATCTAGTCAAGTTCTTGAAGTTCTTCAAGATATAGTTCCAACTAGAATTAGAAAAGAAAAGGCTTTTACATTCTTCCACTCTCAAGTTTAGATAATTGATTAACTGTATCATCAAACTGATATTAAGCCATAACTAACTTCTTCTTCATTTTTGTTTTGGGGGGTGGGGGGTGGGGGGGAGTATTCTATGTTGAACTGCATATCTTCTTTGATGGAATGGATTGCTAATGCATTTTAAAAGTTAACAGGATGATCACTCTAGGGCCAGTAAAGAGAAAGAGGAACTAGATCGATCAATTGCACGCTCTCTAGCCAAAGATTCGAAGAGACCAAATGGTATTTATTTATATTTTGCAAGCCTGTGGAGCATGTTCTATTCTTTTCCTTCAACAATCTTTTAGAGGGATTAGTTGTTTGTTGACTTTAATATATCACTATGAGTGTGTTGCTCTTTTTCATAGGACAAAGACGACAGGGGACTGGGAAAGATGAAGACCTAGCAAGATCACTCCATGATAACATTAACTCGTCCTCGTATCCTCCTCCACATGCTCCTTCACATGCCCCTTGGGATTACAATGCCAGAGGTTGTAGGTAATTGTTTTATGTTTACAAGATTGAGATTTTGATTTTTGCATTATATCTTGGGAGATGAGAAACTTGGAAACTTATAAAAGCATGATATTTTTTAGTTTTATAACCTTTCAACATTACCCAAAATGTCTTACCTATTTTCGATTTTTATTTTATTTACTCCATCACTTTTTTTTCTTCTAATAATTTATAATCAAAATCAACATATACTTACTCATTCAAAACGTTTAAAATTCAAAATATAGTGCACAATCTATTATCTTTTTTCTAATAATTTATAAACCAATTTGTTTTCCTAAAATTGGTAAATATTATTTTATTGGAATTATTGATTTGGTAACTTGCAATGATAAACACAAATCAACTATTATGCCTGAATCCGAAGCTAGTTGAGTCGGTTATATGAATCCTCTATATTAATTCTCCTTCATTTGGATCCATTTCATTCCGATATTCAATAATTTATGTTTAAGACAAATTAGGGGTTCTCTAATAGTAAAGGTTCTTTATATATCACATTTATCCTTACTCGGAGACACAAATCTTTAAACAAACTAAAAAGACTTTTGGAGTTTTGGCGAACACCGGCTTTAATGGAAATGTACCGATATGATTAAGCATTAATCCAACTAGTTGGTATCGCCTATATAGATCTTTGCTTCATTGTCTTATGTTCCTCGCTAAAACCGTCGGAATTTTGAGAGATTGTAAATCTTTCGAGACAATTTCCCTACATTTGGTTTTAGGTCTACCTTGCCACTTAAAACAAAATTACTTTCATGAAATTTCATTAAATGTTAGAAATTAATTACACCAGGGATCGACATTGACCATGCTTGTTTATCCTAGTTATGGAAAAGCTAACCAGCACAATATAATACAAGAGGAGGTCACCTGTTATATGCTATTTGCCGAGGACATCGTGCTAATTGACGAAAACAATGAGAGTGTCAACAACATCTTGAACTGTGGAGAAGCACTTTAGAGAGCGAGGATTTATAAGTAGAAGTAAGAATGAATATATGCACTGCAAGTTTAGCCAATAAAAGAAGAGTGAAATAGGTGGAATTCGATGGGGATCGCAATGCTAACTGCAAACAGTTCAGATATTTAGACTCGTTGTTTCAGGAGACTGAAATGATAGATGAAGATGTTATAAATAGAATCAAAGTCGTACAGTTGAAATGGGGAAGTGTTACAAGGGTGTTATGTGGATGCCTACCAAAGTGAAAGATAAGTTTTATAAAATATCTATAAGACCAATAATATTATATGAGAGTGAGATTTGGGCACCACTGATTTTGACATGGACTAAAGCACCAACCACCAACATCCACTAGCTTTACATAGTGGAAAACTTCAGCCATGAAAGACACATATGTTTTTATTTGTCTTTCATGGGCTGAAATTTTCCACGATGTAAAGTGCTTTAATGGTTAGTGTTTTAGTAGTTCATGTCAAAATAAGTGGTTATTGTTGGTGCATTTTAAAGTGTCTCATTAGTTGTGCTTTTTGACGTTTAGGTTGTAAATCAGTTGAGCTTTTAGCTCACATTTTTAAAATGTATTAGTGTCGGTCCAATCAAATTGGATCAGTGTCAGAAGGATTCTGTCTCTCTACAGCTAATAAGGCTTATTTGTTGTAGAGAGGCAGAACTCTCTTATCCTTGTAAAATATTGTGTGCTGAGATAACGTATTTTCTTTCTAACTTTTCTCTCTTGTTTCTTTCTTCAATTATGGGAGATTGATTCTTAATTGATTATAGAATATTGAAAACCATAATAGGCGTGATTACCATAGTTTAAAGATTCTTGTTGGATAAAGACCAGACAAATTGTTGGTAAGGTGTGCCGTGTTAATCTAGGCTAGGCAAAACCTTCTAAAGAAAATTCTTTAGCTATCGGTTCAATAGATATTCGCCTTCTCAGTTTTTGGTATTATGTCACCTTGGTATTACACTCACCAATTGGTATCACAACCTAATACCTTTTATTTATATTTGCATAAAATTGGCATGAGATAATATAAATGGAGTAACATGGTCAATGAGCTCATGTAGCCAACCCTAACCAGTTTGGGACTGAGTCCTAGTGGTGTTAGAGATTTATTAGCTTGTGCAATATTAGTTAGTAAGGTTTACTAACTTTATCAGTTATCTTCTACAATGTGAATCAATCAATTTTACATCAAACCAAAAGTCGGCTATATGAGTTCTTTATATTCATTTAAAGATTGTTTTATAGAATTTGACTATTTTTTATGCTGAGCGTCAACATACTGTAGTTGATTCATCTGTCCCTGACCAAGCAAAGCAGCTTTTGTATCCACTGATAATGAAGCAAGATATAAGATAAAATACAGAAAAAATTGTTTCTTTTTCACTTATGGTGGATTTATTACATAAGATGCTGAACATCCTTTGTTTTGGTAAATTCTTTTGCCATCAGATCCAAGTAATTAATCAGAAAAGGTTGATCAATGTTCTGTCAGATGTTTGCTCAAATAGAGGACTGTGACGTGCTAAATGCTATCACATGAAATATTCAAGCAATTCCTTGTTTTTGGTGATATATACTGTATACATAATTCAAACTTCAGGTGATGATTGGATCTGTTTGTACTTTAAAGTACGTGTATGCATATAAGTCAAAAGCGTGGTACTTAAGTAGAGAAGGGTAGAGGGGTGGGCCCATTATCAGGAATTTCCCGGTTATAAAGAAAAAAATACATATATGTTATACAAAGAAAGCGACTGTGTATATTTTATCTTTGTTTTGGAGTACTGAAAATCCAAACTACTTACTCTGTGGTAATAAACTGCTGCATAGCCAAACATGTAGATATCTCAGGGTGAGATAAGTTGATACATATGTACACTTGTCTTGAAGATGAACACTATATGATGTTATAACTATTTCTTCACCATGAAAGAAATTATGAGAATGCGTTTACTTTGCAGAAAATGTAGTGGCTGCCATGGGGATATTGGCTCTGGCAATTATTTGGGATGCATGGGAACTTTCTTTCATCCAGAGTGCTTTCTTTGTCATGCCTGTGGTCTTCAAATTACCGAGTACGAGGTACAATATTGTCCTTGGTGTTAATCATTTCTTCCAACACTTGAACCCTCTTCCAAATGTGAAAATAAAATATTAAACCGTGTAACTGAAAGTCTTGTACAAGCTAAAAGTGTTTGAACCCATTCTCATGTTTAGCTCATTGGTTTTCTTTGTTGATTCAAGTTTTCTTTGTCAGGGAACAATTCATATCATAAGTCATGCTTCAAGGAACTGACTCATCCCAAATGCGAAGTGTGCCACCAATTTGTAAGGATACACTGCTTCTCTGTGTGATTTTGTTACCGGAAGATGCTCATTTCAATCCAAATTTGGTTCATGGTTTTTGTTCGGTCGTCATCTGTGGATTTAGGCCCCTCTTGTATGTTTAGTTAGTGAATAGCATTGCCCTTTGTTCCCACTTACATCTTAGGCCCTTGGAGTCAAATTGTCTATTATGTGTTTATTTTTATCAGAAAACAGCTTCAATATTATTAATGTCTGTGCGGAAAGGCAAAAGTGTCATCCTATCTTTTGTCAGTCATGTGGATAAAATATCAATTTGTAAATTTCTATTAGCAAACCATTGTCAAAGGTAGCATTGTTCCTTACAGGATAATACATCTAATAATCATCTAACACTCATATTTGCAGATCCCAACAAATGGAGCTGGATTGATAGAGTATAGATGCCATCCATTTTGGTCCCAGAAATATTGTCCTTCACATGAGAATGATGACACCAAACGATGTTGTAGTTGTGAACGTCTCGAGGTAGGTATTTCAAATAATGGGAAATGTTGGGTTGCCTCTCATTCAACTTATATGCTTGTTATTTATATTGCTTCTTTATCTTCTCGAAGTCATGTAATACAAGATACATATCACTTGGAGATGGTCGGAGCTTATGTTTAGAGTGCACTGAGTCGGCCATTGCGGACACTGGGGACTGTCAACAACTATACCATGCCATTAGAGACTTTTATGAAGGCATGAATATGGCAATAGATCAGCAAGTTCCTATGTTGCTTGTTGAAAGACAAGCCCTTAATGAAGCCATTGAAGGGGAGAAGCATGTACGAATGATCTCTACTTGTTTTTTCTCTGTTCTTCAGTCTGCAAATATTTATGACTGGAATTTCTTTTAGGGTTTTCATCATATGCCTGAAACCAGAGGTCTATGCCTATCAGAAGAGCAGACAGTGACCAGTGTAAGATCTTCAGTCACTTAGAATCATCCTTTCTAGTGAAATGTCCTATACCTGCTATGACATTTTATTTNAAAAAAAAACTCAGAAAAAGAAAAGAGAAGGTATTGACACAAAATATAAGGGATTATAAGAAGAGAACTTTCTACAGCATTAAGTTCAATATTTCAATTTAACATGTATTAGGGTAGTTTGCTCAGTAGGGTGTCAAAATTAGTTTTTTTGTTTTTGTTTTTTGACATTGTAACATGTATATTTGTATTAATCAATCTTCAGCACAAAGGTTGTGCTGGAAGCCAAAAGAAAGAGTTTACAAAAGCCTACAAAGCTCCCTATTACAATCCTTGCGCTTCTTACAAGGAATCTAGGACTTGTAAAATTGACTCTAAGTCGTGACGATATTCTGCTTTACACCAAAAACAAAAAAGAAGAATTCAATTCATCTTAATTTTCTGAATAGAGCTAATTGTATCCTCAAAGCATCTTGAGTTCCTCTCCTTCCATACTGTCCACCAAATGGACAATTTTCCATCTGTCTTTGTTTGAAGCAGTGTACTTCCCCCCTACATTCCAGCTTGACAAGAATTCAGATGTTCTTCCTGGCATTGACCATCTAATGCCCCTGAGGTTGATGAATAAATCCCACAACTGACTAGCTGTCACGCCCCAAGTTCGGGAGGCGCGACCGGCACTCAACCGAGTGAACCCGGCCGAGCAAGCCTGCTGGACACTTCCTACCCATCTCACTTATGCTCGAGAGAATACGTGATTTCATTAATTAGACAATAGGAGATCATACAAGTACATTACTAAGCCATTTCATTAATTACATCGTTGTTGAGCTGTCAAAATACACACACCCTACTATTTAGTGAAACAACAATCCAAACACAACATCATCCTTTGACTTCCCAACACCCATATACAACCCACATAATGTCTACGGAGCCTCTAAGTAGATACAAAAGAAAGTACTACAAAAGTGCCGGCAACAAGGCCCCGGCTATACCTTAAAGCGTGGCAATCATATAAGCAAAAGATGTATTACATGACCCCGGGAAGGAATGGGGCTCACCAAGACTGCTGGGAAGATGAAGGCAAGCACCGCTAGCTGCGATCAACACTGTCGGCTATGGAACCACCTACATCCATTAAAAGATGTAGCGCCCCCGACAAAAGGGGCGTTAGTACTGTGGAATAGGATTAGTATGTGGAGCTAAACACCAATCTTAATAGAACGAACAATGAAACAAAAAGAAATCAAGAAGGGAGGTCGTCATGATATACAATAAGAGCTTCAACACATATCAAAACATCAAGCAAGGATCACATAATTTCCGGACAAGTTCTCATTTTATTTACGTTTGATAATCTCAGTGCCATATGCCACAATCCACAATACCACCGTGTTCCTACACGGAGTCCGATCTCGACCCGACCGGCTAAGTCATCTCATTTGAGACATCATCCATTTTCATAATTTCAATCAATCAATTCAGCACAATTACCACCATGTGTGCGGCATGGTGTCCGATCGCGGCCCGATCGACTAGGGAATCTCACTTGAGACATCATCCTTTCAATCGTTCATCTTAGTTCACATTTCCTTTCAATCTTTCATTACATGGCACGTCTAACCTCATATATCACATCGTTCTTGGCCTTTGGCCGCATTTCACAATTCAAGTTCCCTTTTTACACGTTCAACAACATCATCATAGCAACAATAAGGTTTATCATGTAAGGCATGTTCACAAGCAAGGGAAAAGCTCGGGAATTCTAAACCTACAGAGACTTCACATATGAATTGGCACAAAAACCTTTATTCAATTTCTTGACATGAGTTCTTAACCTTCCTCACACATATTCTACACTGTCAAACATACTCACATAGGAAGATCAGACATGATAAGCAGTTAGACAATCATTGAACATGAATCTATCAACACAACACAATAGGGCAAACGATTCTAGCATGATCAATTTAGGGACTTACACCAAGTTCACGGATGTCAGGGGTTCGATTCTAAGAAGAAGGGGGTTTAGCCATACATACCTCAATAGAGCTTTCCTTAATACTTTAAAGGGGGGTTTCCGGAATTAGCAACTTCAATCTATTTTAGCAATATCACAAAATGGGACCCAAAATTAGGAGAATGATGTGCAATTCTAGCTCATTAAAGCATTCTACGAAACATTATGTGTGCATTGTGTTTCAAGACTTTTTTTGTGTAAAATTATATCATCTCACACCCCAATCTTTAACATTTTTAGCTCACAATCTCCCTATACCCTTTTATCATACATACATGCATGCAAGATAATAACTCCAATACCCACTAACTTTCTTGATAATTACCCATATTTAGCTAAAATTCGAAATTAAGGGTTAGGGTGTAGAATCTTACCTCAAGGATGAAAATCTAGTATGTTTTTCCTTGTTAATCTTCAAAGATTTGTGTAAGAATTGAAGGATGCTTTAATGAAGATCACTGTCTCACTCTAGGGCTCCCTCTCTCACTTCATAACATCAAATTTTTGCTCAAAAATGACACATTGCGTGTATTTAATGAAGTTGGGTCGGGTTATAAAGATAGAAGAATGGATAGTCCAAGATTCCGGACCGGGCTACAAACCTGGCGTCGCTAGCTTAAAGCCTGGTCTAGCCTGGCTTTATCCAGGCCTCGCCAGCTTAAAGCCTGGTCTAGCCTGGCTTTATCCAGGCCTCGCCAGCTTAAAGCCTGGTCTAGCCTGGCTTTATCCAGGCATCGCCAGCTTAAGGCCTGGTCCAGCCTGGCTAAAGCTTGGTCTACCAGTGATGAAAAATTTCAACTCCCCAACGCATTGTTGAACCCCAAACTCCGAAAATGCAACGCATTAGCCTACCTTGATACCACAAAACCTTGAATTACATAGCGAAGTTTTCCCGGGGCCTTACACTAGTCACTCTACAGTGTAGAAACAGATGGCTGATTGTCTCTACCTCTTAGCCACATAAGTAACACTTCGAGCAGATTGGTATTCCCCTTTTCTTCAGGTTGTCATGTGTTAAAACTTCTCTAACTACCAGCCAAGAAAAACATGCCACTTTGTATGGTGTCTTGACCCTCCAGATGTGTTTCCAAGGCCATAGATTGACTTGTCCAACATCTTGGTTTAGATACTTGTAGGCTGAGCTGACTGTGTACACCCCACTGCTGTTTTGGCTCTAGCTAACTGTATCTTCTCCCTTCTGCAGTCCGTTGCATAGCTCCAGAGTGTTAAAGAAGTCTGTTATTCTGGGCAGCTCCCAATCATGTAAAGGTCTTCTGAAAGTGAGATTCCATGCCTGTGCCCTCCGAAGTTCATATACTGTAGCTCTATGTTGTTGATTCAGGGCATAAATGTCTGGAAAAAGATTCATAAGACAACCAATTCCTAACTAGTTATCTTCCCAAAAAAGAGTGTTCCTACTACCCTTACTTTGAATTGAAGCTTGTCAGCAAAATTTGGCCACAGATTCCTTATAGTTCTGCACAAGCTGGTACCATAAGCATTGTTTACATGCTCTGTCATCCAGAATCCTTCCTTTCCATATTTAGCCTTTATAACCTTGCTCCACGAAGCTTGTTCCTCCCTAGTAAACCTCCAAAGCCACTTCATCAAGACTTTTATTCGACATTCTCAAGTTCCTAACCCTGACCTCCCAACTTTTTGCTGAGGGTCAAAGTTTTCCATTTGACTAGATGAAAGCCCTTCTTCTCTTTGTTTCCATGCTAGAGGAAGTTTGTTCTCAAGGTGTCCAGTCTTTTCTCTACATTGGCAGGTATAGGAAATAGGGACAACATATATGTGGGGAGAGCATCTAGCACAGAGTAAATGAGGACCAATCTACCACCCAATGAAATGTAGTTTGATTTCCATCTTGCTAGCTTTTTCTCACATTTTTCCAGGACTCCATTCCAGATATCCTTGGACTTGCTCTTAGCTCCCAAAGGCATCCCAAAATAAGTGGTTGGGATAGAACCAATTTCACCTCCCAGAATTCCTGCTAGCAGCTGAATATTAGATACCCCATTGATGGCTTCGAAAATTATAAGAATCACTCTTAAATACTTTACTTGAATCTGATCAGCATCACAGAAAATGAGGATATCATCTGCATATTGAAGATGAGTAACCTCCAACCTGTCAGTTTGGTTCCTTGCCACATTGAAGCCCTTAATTCATCCATTGCCCTGTGCTATTCTTAACATATTGTTTAACCCTTCCATGAAAAGTATGAATAAGAAAGGGATAAGGGATCGCCCTGTTTCACTAATAATAGAGTCCAAAGGCTTCTTCTGAAGATTAGGCTTTGAGGGATAGGTAGGTTTGTGGGCCAGAACCCTTTGGGCCCCTTCACGTGACCCTTCCACTTTATCAGATTTTGAAATTGGCACATTTCTTGATGTTCCCACGTGACCAACCCTTTCATTAATACCCCTGTACGCCTTTTGTACTTCATGATAGGGTTTCATTGCCAAGCGGTCAATACACTGCTTTCTTCTAACATCATCTTCTTCATCATCTTCTCCGGCAGCCACCCTCGTCGGAGATTCACACCAGATCGGAATAGTAAAGTTTATTCCCTTGTCAACTATAACTACTTCCTTCGGTGCTTTCTCCCCATCACCTCTAATTTTAATGGTTCTTTAAGGAAGTTTCTTCCTCAGTTTCTAGCCAACTACCACAAAGATCTCCAATAGCTTTGAAGATTTTCTCAGTCCAGAAGTGCATTGGGAGACCCATAACTCTAATCCATGTCCAATCTCATTTTTGGTTGATTGAGCAGCAGCCGGCCGTCGGCGACCACCATTCCAGATGAATTTTTGCTCGCTTCCACCTCCATTCCCCTTTAAGGATGTGTTCTGCCATGTACTTGTTAGGAAATTGAAAAAGAAAATTGGGTCCAGCCATTTCGTAGACATCGACTCTAAAGGCTTTCTTCCAAGTGTTCACTGACCAATCACCGGATGTCGGCAAGGGTTGGTTTTTCGCCTAAGCCCTCGTCAAAACTTCCAACAATGCACCTGCTCAGCAAACCATCATTTGTGTTGACCTCACCATCGGAGATTAATATTCTGTTGTTGGGACCATGTGTAACGTGAACTTCATCGCACTCCCTTGACTGCCATTTGCTGACTTTAACAGAAGCGTAGGAAATTTTTGGATCTGCCTTCTTGGGACCATTTGTAATAAATGGCCTTTTATTTTCATTAATGAAGTTCCTGATCTTAAATGCGATTTCATTCCATCCCGCATTAAATGTAACTTCTGGAATAATGGTTCCTGCTCTGTTGTCACCTTGGACAGTAACAATGCTAATAAATCTTCCAAACTTGTTGTATTTCCTGGAACTGTAGAATGATGAATATTGCTCCTTTAGCTGCCATTTCCTTACAAACGTACCAGCATCTTTTGAGGCCTCTTGAAGGACAAAACACAACCATTCCATAGTTTTCCAGCTAAAGGTTGATCTACGTACGAGATTACGACTCCTTTCCACCCATTCGAACCAAGTTTCTGCTCTTGATTCGAGTCTTGTAATGTCATACGATTTGAGTCCAACTGCAAAATAAATCCTATTATCACCTATAATGAACTAGAATAATTTTTAAGATTAATCACGGGAGGATGATTAAAATTAAAGACTCTGAAAAGGACGTCGGAGAACTAGATTATGCCGGAAAAGTGTTGTCTTTTACAGCCTCGAAAGGTGTGCTTGAGAGCACTCTACCAAGAGCTTCCTTTTTCTCTTTTTCTCTTAAGGGGCAACCAAAAAGAGGGCATAGGGAGCATCTACATGAACTAAACAGTTTTCTTGGATGTGCTTTGTGAAATGAAGTTTGAAGCAGATGAAAAGAATCAGTGATCTACATTTTTAGTGGATGGAGCAGACATATTGTCCTTTGCCTGCTCTCTGTATATACTGGTTGTGACAAAGTGATGATGCTGTACTTGTAGTTGTCCATTACTATTACTATTGGATTCTAAAGCGTGTTAAGGCCAGAAACACTTACCATTATCTTTCAATGTGCAGATTACTTACCGGTGCTATTCTTGCTCATGAACTGATGCATGCCTGGTTACGTCTAAAAGGTAATTTGATTGCTGTCTTTTGACCGCGCCTGTATGGGGCAAGGATTCTACAAATACAGGCAATCAAGCAAAGAAAGATTGCTAGATGGTTCATCTTCAACACTTCGTGATGGTTAATACTACCTGATTTCAGTTTTGAGTGAATATACAGTGACCATAGTTTTTACTGAAATTTGCAGGGTTCCGTAATCTCAGCCCTGAGGTGGAGGAGGGCATCTGCCAAGTGCTTTCTCAGATGTGGCTTGAATCAGAAGTAATGCCTGGATCCAGAATTATGCCGTCCACATCCACTGCGTCATCCTCTTCGACATGGTCGTATTCCAAGAAAGGTGGAAAGTCAGGTGTGGAGAATAAGTTGGGTGAGTTTTTCATGCACCAGATAGCTCATGATGCTTCTCCAGCGTATGGTGCAGGATTTAGAGCTGCTAATGCAGCCGTAATTAAGTATGGTTTGCGACGTACATTGGATCACATTCGGCTGACAGGAAGTTTTCCTGTATGATGCAATCATGATAGCTCTTTTACTTCGTTTTGTCGATGATCATTTCCTCTGCTGTGTGGCAAGCTGGAGGTCATTGAATCCTCCCATGAGGACGTGAGTCGATCATGCAATGCTGGATTAGCTCCCACTAACCTTTGGGTTACTGATAAGGAAGAACTTGAAATATCCTAGAATTAGGGAGTAGCATATTTGGCAGTGAATATTAACTAGAAAATGTAATTGGGGGCTGGTGCATTTGGACTGCAAAAAGTTCACATCTGAATGCGTCGGGATCATTATCCAATGTCTTGGACAAATGTTGTTTTGAACGAAATCCTACCTAAGCTGTACCTGTTACAGTTATCACTTTTGGAGTAGTGTACTGCAGAGTGAATCCAATTGTGGCACCCTAAGGGTGTTAGCTTAGTAGTCATTGAAATTGGTAGAGAACTATGAGGTCTCATGTTCAGACAAAAAGTTACTAGGTGACTTTGTCGCATATGTTAAACCCTTGAGTTGATAGAGTTACACTGTATCTATGTTGGTGATGTACCCGACGGATTTACTCAATGAGTGTGCATTATGGCTTGGATACTACCGTTATCGAAAAAAAAAGTGAACTGAACTGTGTTCTTTAGCCAATGTTCCTACTTGATATATCAACCAACGAACACTACGATTGTCTGGTAATTTTAAAGATCTTTGGAGAAAACAAGCTCAAAAAAGGGAAAAGAAGAAGATAGGGAGTATTATAGCAGAAAGTTCTCTGGCAAAATGATAGACGAGCACTGCCATAGAAACGAGTCTACACTGCTGAGCAGATCCCTGTAACAACACGAGCCATCAAGTTTAAACTACTTTGAGAAGGGGCTTATTCCAGAGATAAGAGATGGTTTTGTATTGAAATTCTGCCAATGATATCTATTTACACATATTCTGCAGTATTGCGAGAAGAGTCCGGTGTGGCTACAATTCTAATTCTTTTTCCAATTCAAACAATGACCAAAGGGAAGTTATCCTTTCTTTTCTGTCGTAGGGGAAGGGAGGACAAAGACAAGGTAGTAAATCCATTCACTTCCAAAAGATCGACACAGATTTTAGATTTTCCAGGAATAATTTTGTTTTTAAGTCACTTTTCCAACAAGAAGCTTCAACTCGTAGGCTTATCAAAGGCACCAAGAAGAATCATATCAATTCATAAAATTGAATTGTACTTTAGCTACTGCAATTGTGCCTTCTTTTAACCATCTATACATGAATGGTGTGGGTTTACATCGACAACTTCGAAAGAATTACAAACCTCTGGTATATGATCTTGAGGCGCCTTATACCTGTAAGTTTATTCTCCGATATCTCAAGCCAACACATCAGTCAATATCTGAGAGAATCTGTTTCATTTTCTCGTATGTCATAAAGACAATACCGATACTAGGCACAACCTTGTAATATTCGGGCAAAATTCCTCTATATAAACCACGCAGACCCTCTGTCTGGATAATACGACTGAATGCACCAACCAAACCAGTCTTATAAATACGAGCCCGACCACCTGCTCCTTCCAATTGCATTCGTCGCCTCACAAGATCCAAAGGAAATGTTACTGCAAAAGCATCCATAAACATAAAGATGAAAGAATTGCAAATAATTAGCATTTCATCATGTAATCAACTTTTTCCCATCAGAAGCACATCTGGGATTCTCAATGCCCAGCTTTAGATAATGCAAAAGAGATGCAACTTATTATCCTACTTTTGTCAAAAAAAACTAAAAACTTTGACAAGGTTGTGGTGATGACTTGAAAAGCAACTGATCCAATTATGACAATATAGAATATCAAAATGGGAATGATGAAGGTGATTGCCCATCCACCGGAACATCTAAATAAATTAGAAGCCAAAACATGCACCTGTTAGTATTAACCATCAAGTAGGGAAGCATGGAGAGGTGCAGGTGTGGTGCCTCATAGGGCAAACTACGTGACTTGAAAGAAGTGCTTGTTACAGTGGTATAAGTAATAAAGGCATGCGGAGGGAGCTTCTATCTGGATCTGTTGTACTTAAGAAAGAACCCATATACAGAATTAAGGAGTCTAGATATCTACCTGAAGAAAAAGAAAAGATGGAGAGGAAGTAGACCTACGTATGCTGCTACACTAGAAGAAAAGGTGAAGAGAAAACTAGGTCCCAAATGGCCTTTCACTTTGCTCCAGGAAGGTTCCTCTATCTTCTTTCTTGATGATTCAAAATTCATCATCACTATTTTATGATTTAGTTTCTTCTCTTTCTCCCTCATCCTGTAATTGCTCAGCTTCTGTCAGTCTGCTTTCTTTTCTTCTTGTCCTTCATCCTCCTCCCTGCTTTGCTCTCTCCTATTCCTTTCTTCTATTCTGGTATCTCTTCTACAGCTATCCTCTTATTTTCCTACTTCATCTTGTGATATGACACTTTTATTTTATGCTTTATTAGTAGGAATTTTTAGTCATAACTAGAAATCTATGAACTGCACAGAAATTGGCAAGTGAAATTTATCAAATTGAATGAATTAAATGGTATTATCAGAAGATAATTTTAAAGACAGTGGTCGTCATTACATGTTTAATGCATGTTAGATGTGTATGTACGTTATATGAAGAAAGTGAGTTGAAAAAAATAAGATAGCTGTCAATATCCTATATTATTCTACATTTTCTTCAGTGAAGCTGTGCTTCGTCTTGCTTCTCGCCAATCACACTTTTTGCTTTTAAAACACTGGTGCTAGTTGTACGGAATACATAAAGCCAACTGGGCTACTCCAACTTCTTTTATATCCCAATTTGAAATATATGTCAGAAAGATATACAAATTTCTACTCTTTAGCGAAACTGAAATTGCATAAATAAATTCTGGGTGATGCATACAGTCTGTAAGACATTAACAAAAAAATGCTTTGCAATGCCAAAGCCTTCTATCCCATATCAAAAGATGCATAACAGGGACTTCAGACAAGCAATGAAGAAGGAGCAGGTTGCAAAGATGAACGAATAGATGCAGCCAAGAGGGAGAATCTCTTACGAAAGTTGAAAGGGGTCAGTTTCATTTTTCATGCATGTTTCTTCTTCCATTAATCATTATTCTAGTGGACTTCCAATAAGTTTTCTCCTTTCTTTTTGTTAATCTGTAGATTTTAGTAGGTGAGATTGCCATTTCCTTTAGTTCCCCAGTGCATGCATCTTCTTTTGCTGCTGTCTCTATCTTATTTTTGAGGGTTTCTAGGAAGCAGATGGAATTATTCAAATTTTACATACAAAGACCAGTATAAAACAGCTAATTCTTGATGGTCCTACTATCAATTTTGTAACATAACACTTTCAAGCCTAATTGAGAAGCATACCTCAACGAGGAAGCCTCTCACATTTTGATAACTGCAAATACAAATGGCTCGCGTGCAAATATCCACCATAGTGGAGCCAACTGCATGTTTGGAGATCATCCAATTAAAGTATGAGACAAAAATTATGACTGACATTTCTAGTCAGAAACAAAAAGTTAGTGCGAGAAAGACAAGTAAGCAATTTTTTTTTTGGTTGGGGTGAGCTTCCTTACTAAATTCCAATATGCCAGATAAAGGTGCTCGGGCTCTAAGGGTCAGTCCAGTTAGAAACTTAGTGAGAAGCCAGCACCTCAACCTGCTTCTCTGCATCAAAAGCAATGAGATAACTACATGCATTAACACCTACTTTCAAATACCATAGATTTGTTTAATATCATAATAGTTGAAGGCCTAACTCTGCATATCTAGAACTCAGTCAGTGCCGCACCAACTTTGAGGTTAAGAAACAGCTTGTTAAACACAACATCAGCCTTTCTATTTGTTCATCTATTTTGTAAAGAGTATTCCAATCATTGAATAACAGTTAGATATTCTGTTTGTTTTGATATCGAGAGCTACAGAACACATTTATCAAAGCAGGGTATCATAAAGAAAAAACTGCACCAAAGGTGCCAGGAGAAATAGCCAAAAGGAGGATAACAAGGTTCTTTTTCCTCCCGAACACATTTATGGAATAGGAAGCATGTGGAAGTTGAAGGTTTTGGCAATGTAGATATGTCTCCATGTAGTAACAAGATGTTGAGATCAGAAAATTCAGAGACAACAGCACACTTAAATAAAGTGGTGCCAACACTCAACAAGTTGGGGGGCATTAGCCAAAATTCAAGGAATACAGGTAAGACAATACTTTTCTCCATCGCTATTTCCTGTATAGGACATCAAACCAAAATTGGAAGCTCAAAATTTCTACCACCTTTCATGTACATCAGATCACTGACCTGTTGATGATGCAACGCCTGAAAGACTTCCACAAGCAAGGCTGACCAGGACGGTTGAGTCTTCTGGTCTGATATGAAGAGGTGTGTTAATATAGTGCTATCTTGAGATGAATGCGTAGAGGGACAAACTTGAGAACTGACCAGTGAATGACAGCACATTTCATCGATAGTTATCAAGAGGAAAACAAAAATGATGAAAAGAGAATAGACAGTAAAATCTCATCGAATATTACCTATGAGACTGCCAGTAAGATCTCACAGTGTCATAAACTGAAAAGCTGATTGCCAAATTTGGGCCAACCCCCTTCATGAAATTGAGATATTCATTCAGCATAAAACAGGAAAAGCACAATTCAGCAGGAATAGAATCCCAAGGACAAAGCGAGATACCAATAAAGTAGCACCCATTCCTTTATAAAGGCCGGCTATCCCTTCCTCCCTACTGATGGTTTGTAATGCATGCCAAATGCCTCTGTAATATATTACATTTCTCTGCAAAACTCAAAATGAGTAAACCTACCAAAAAGGATCTAATGTCTCAGAAAAGGAACAAATTGTTACAGAAATATGTAAGAGAAACCATAACCATTTCTGAAATTTCAAAACTATCTTAACTAAGAGTATAAATGAATCTGTGGGCTTTGACTTTCCAACAACTCTGGCATCAAGCAGCCGCTCTAGACTATTGTTTCTTAATCTAGTAATTGGAACATTGGAATCTCACCAAAAGTAAGAATAATAGCACTGATTACTGAAAGCGTATAGTTCCGAGCTTTCAACCAAATGAATAAAATACAAGACATCATTTACAAGATAGAGCAACCCGTTTATAAAATAACTAAGCCAGAACACAGTAATGTGTGTGTGTGTCAATGTAAAAGCAAACAGCTTTAGCATTTTTCCAGATTATGTACCGTTCATTTACTAGTCAACAATTAAAGAAGAGAGCCTCCTGAAGCTAGTATCCGTAAATAGACTCGCCTAGGGTGCCCTAAGCCCCGAAACTAGTTGGAAAACAGACTGAGCGCTTCGCCGCGCTTCGCAGGCGCTTTAGTGAAGTCACCAAGGCTCTAAAGCGTATGTATCATTGCTAATGGGTGTTATCCTAAACAGAGCGAAACTAAACAATAAATATTCCACTTTATTGTGAATTTTTGTTCATATAATTTATTTGTGTATAATTATTATTCCTGAATTATATATATTTCTATTTTTTTCTCCATTTGTGCCTTTCTTCATTAAAACCTGCGTTTTGTGCTTAAAAACCCAAGAGACCTTAGCGCTTTTCTCCTTTGATAACATTGATTATTAACCTTCAATGACGAACTACCCACATTCCATTCAGGACACCTCCAGCCCCTCCCCTACCCCGAGTCATCTAGGAAATGATTAATAATTCTGGTCTTAATGGAAGATGAGGCCGAAATCATCAGACTGAACAAATATTCAAATCCATCTAATTAATGTAATTTGTCCCCAGGAGCTTTGTTCAGTGGTAAGGATGCAACAAGTGATTTCTCCAATATTGAGTACTCCAATGAGTAATTAGACAAATCACCTGGATGAAGGCAAATCAGGACATAATGAAAAAGGAAACTACATGAAGATTGAAATAATAATAATACAACTTAGCCTGAGCTTTTTATTGTTTTCAACACCGAACAACTTGGTTCATGTGATCAAGATCATAACTGTTTTAGTTACTGAACAAAAACTTTTTTCCTAATACACCGATTAAAAGTAGGTCTTTTGTTCCCTTTTTTTTCCCCCTTTGAACTTTGTCTCCACGGCATTTTGGGAATGATACATTAATTAGCAAATAAACATGTTTCCAAAACCAAATCAAAATTCCAGCTGAATTCCACTCACCTGAGCTGCAAGACGTGTCCTAACAAGATCCAACGGGTATGTAACAGAAGCAGCAGTTATCCCAGACAAACCGCCACCTACAAGTCGTATACAAAGGTCTGCAGTTATATTCTCTCCTTGGCTTTCAACCCCCAAAATCAACTGCAACACCTGTATTTGCATTTAATAATTAAAAAAAAAATAGACTTGGCACTTTAATAAAACAGAATTTCATAGAACGTTTGTACCAACATTCTTGTAGCGTTCAAATGCATAAAAGCTAATAGAGGAATATGGAAGGCGGTGAGCAATTGTGACCAAATTCCCCTTCCAAAATGCCCGATACCCTTCTTCACGTACAATACGTGAAGCCTCCTGCCATATACTAGCTTTTTTTAAGCTACCAGCATCCGCGTGCATTCCTTGCACCTATAAACACAAATTAAGTTTCACTTAGAACTATAATAATCAGTTTAAAATATTAGGAAAACATAAAGTAAAAATTTGAACCTGAAAGAGAATAGTAAGCCGAGCAAGGGGAGCAGTGCAAGTCTTGCTGACGGCACCGGCAACTCCACCGGCGAGAAGCTGAGGAACAGTCCCGATCTGAGACTGCTGACGGCGCTGCTGCGTGATCAATTTACGAGATGCTCCGCCGTCCACAACCACTGCTCCGCGGCCACATCCTCCACCGCCGGCGCTTCCTCCTCCATCCACCACCACTCCTACTCTGGCTTCAGTCTGCATCGTATTCTCACCCAATGGATTGAGCGGTCTCTAATTTTGAGAGGTTACCAGTTTCTGCAACGACCTATTGGTTTCCTGTCGATTGTTTTGCTAGCGTGGTTTGGACAAAGATTAACATTGACAGAACGACGTCGCTGGGACTCAGTCTGGTGACTGAGTATAGTAATTTATTTTTTAATGGGTGTGCGTGTGACTCCGCAATAAAGTGAAAACTGGAAGGGAGAAGAGCATTTGTTAGGTTTGCTTTTCCCAATAAAACCCAATTTACTTACACACCGACCTTAACGTGCTCTCAAGTAATTTTCTGTTTCAAGTCGGGCCAAATTAATTATAGCTCTAATTATCTTTGAACCTTTTTTTTTTAGAAACTGGATACTCCTATTATATATTGATACTAGAACATGTTCAAAATATTACATCCCATAGAGATATTCAAATTATATTTGAACTTTGTTTTCTCCTCTTTTCTTATTTATTTATTAAATCGTACTTCAACTTTGTGATTTCATTGAACAAAGACAAGTTTGAAGTAATGTCACATTTAATAAAAATATGATGTACAAGAACAGGCTTGAAGTAGAACCAACTAGCACCAGCAAACAGACATCTGAAACAGTTGAGTTAGAAGAAATCTTAGAAAATGAAGTGGCTAGAGGGATTACAATTGATTCTGAAATTGAAGATGAAGAACCACAAGCTGAATCTGGATCGGAACCAGAACTAGAACCGGAGATAAAATCAAATGCAGAACCAAATCTAGAGTCAGGACTTGAATCAAATTCGGGATCAATTACTCTTGAACCTACATTAAGGAGATCTAAAAGAGTCACGAATTCTCCAGATAGGTTAACTCTCTCTCTTCACTATTTACTTCTGACTGATGCTCGAGATTTTGTGAAGCAATGCAGGTGATAGACTCTGATAAGTGGAAGCTAGCAATGAAAGAAGAAATGAATTCTTTTCAAAAGAAGAAAACATGGATACTTATAGAGTTACCAAAAGGAAAGAAGGCATTGCATAACAAGTGGGTGTAAAGAGTCAAGGAAGAACATGATGTTGAGAAGAGATACAAAGCACGATTAGTGTCGTACGCCTTTTTTCTCGCGAAAACGGGTTTCGATATGTGACAACTCTTTAAAAAAGAGTATTAAAAGAGAAAATTCGCCACCTAACGATTTTTAAGGTGCATTAGGGCACCTATTTGCAGATAACTCTGTTTGACTAGTCAATGTTACCAAAGATCGGGTAAGGGCTCAAGTTACCTCAAATAGAAGATGTTAAGCACTCCTCAAGGTCCAGAACTGTGGGTCCCGGCCGAACTTAAATTATGTGAATTAGTCTACGTGATCAAATAAACAAAGAGAGCACAAAAAATCCAATTTTATTACAAAGATATTAAATAGAGAGGTACAACTATTTCAATTCTACCAGAGAGAAAAAAAGGGAGGGGGGAGAGGGGTCCTATATTTTTTAGCCTAAAGGATCACCCCGTGCAACATAAATAATATTTCGTAACTCCCTTGGGGTAGGGTGTTACTCATATTATTCAACAGGCACAGATTATCATCTCCTGCTACCCGATTACTATGTTAAAGTTGTTTACCTAAAAGCGCTCTAATTCAATTCTAAGTCGTGCCCTACGTGTGCACTACCCGTCCCACACCTATAGTCCAGGGGGTTTAGGACCTCTATTTGGATGGGTCTAGACCTTATATGGGCTGCTCAAAAAATGCAAAACTAGGCGACAAGCAAAACACATAAAGACTTCACATAAAAGCAACTAAGGGTTCACATTGACCCCTACACTTAAACAACAAATGCATTCAAACACATATGCAAATTAGGAGATTTTCAGAATTCAGAACCTTAAACCTATGGACATGATTTCTAGGTGGCTTTGAATCAAAGTAGGTGGACAGTTTCAGATGCAGAATATCACACCTCCTTTTTCCGCACCCGCGGGGGTACAAGGGAGTTTTTTCCAATTAAAGGACGATCGAAACGGGATTGGTTTATTTATTTCAGAGTCGCCACTTGGGAGATTTAGGGTGTCCCAAGTCACCAAATTTAATCCCGAATCGAGGAAAAGAATGACTCCATATTACAGTCTGCGTACCAGAAATCCGGATAAGGAATTCTGTTAACCCGGGAGAAGGTGTTAGGCATTCCCGAGTTCCGTGGTTCTAGCACGGTCGCTCAACTGTTATATTCGGCTTGATTATCTGATTTTATACAAATATGAACTTATGTGCAAA